AATATTCTAGTTTCAGATGTTGTTTTGACTTTCTTGGCAAGCATATTTGTTTTTACCATAATGTTTAATCATGTACATGCAGGTGCATGCCAGGAAGAATCCCTGCCTTGTAGCCTTGTTACGTGTCATCAGTGATTTTGTATGTGGTCTTAGAACAACTTGATGCAACAAGAAAAACATGATTACACCAAATCCACGGCCTTGACCAACACTTATCATCGACAATGAACAGATTTTCAAAATATTTATTTTGAAGTCTGAGAGGATTGCAAATCTGCAGCTCTTGGAGACTGTTTCAGACTTGACATGCCGGACTCGAACTAACTGTACTTTTGCCTCACCTTTAATTTGGGAGTGTGTTTGAAAATGGAACATCTAGTTCCCATTTCCTGATGTTTATTTTCATGGATTCAGATGATGAAACACAATAGTTCATTACCCGGTTTCATTGCAACACATATATGAAATGTAATTGAGAAAAGTACTCTCTGTCTCCATGGTCTTTAAAGCGTGTCTGTACTAGTTTGGCCAGGGGGATTAGACCTCCCAGGGAGGTCACTGACAGGTGGTTATCTCATTAACTCAGCTCTCAATTAACATTAAAGAAAAAGAGGATCATGGGGGACCAATGGTCACCGATTAGGTATTTTTTGCTATATAGAGGGTGCAAGTAACTATAAGTAGTACAGTGGGGCTTTAAAAGATGTGAGCTAACACCCTTTTGACTCTTGGAAGATGACTTATGTTTCATGTCTTTTCAATAAAAGACATTGAAGCAATAAACACTTAAAATAGTACTTGGAGAAGAGACATAAAATTGTTTACAAGCATTTATATGTTTGTGTCTTTTTGCACTTTGTTATGTTACAAAGTACACCAACTCCCCATGTTCCGAATTGAATTAGTCATGATGATTAAAAACATACTGTAAGCAAATAGTTATGATGTTTGACTAGAATTAAAGAGGTTATGCTCTCTCTTATAAACAGTCAATGTCCTTTGAATTTAGGAGTTGAACTTAGAGATATAAAGCGAATAGGATCCTATGATATGCTGCTATTCAAAGCATTCTAATCCACCAACTTGGAGTTCATCTAAAGAATCTTCATTAACATGCTTCATGAACATGAACGAAAATAAGAACTGCCTGCGGAAATTGGATAATGCATTGTCAGTTTTCACTTGAAGACGATAGTACTATGAATGATATATTTCTGCAGTATTTATTGTGCCATCAACTGGTTAGTGCTGTAGGCATAAACAAAACCTTTTGTAGTCCTCCAGTTGCATGACTTATAGCTGCTTTCAGTTTTTCGGAAGCAATTTCAGCTCTCCATTCTGCGCTAATCCAAAGTTGTCCCTTCAGCCGAACAGCCTTTAAAATCCCAATCAACGGCCTGCCTGCGCTAACTTTTTGGTGTTGCAAATGGGAAATTGACTCGTGCAAACAGCTGTATGTACCCAGCCTAAATGATGATGAATTGTGGCCATAAATGGCGGGCATATAAGGGCTTAACGGGTGGTGGGTAGAGTCTGGATAGAGTCAGAGAGTGGTTTATTAGATATTTCCCTGTGCGGGAGAATGGACTGACGGCCATGTTGTTGGCATGAGTCATGAAATGAACTCTTGTTGATTTCATAGGAATGTACTTTTGATTTAGGTTGGTTTCATGGTCATTGTTTACAAATTCGTTTTCCAAGGGCTAGCAAAATGGTATTTCCCATTCAGTGTTTGAAGTAATGACAAATAATAATTGAATACGGTTGTAACCATGTTAGATGGAAGGAGAGAGAGAGAGAGAAAGAGAGAGACAGAGAAAGAGAGAGAGAGAGAGAGAGAGAGAGAGAGAGGAGAGGGAGATGTGGAAGCTGGATGGAGAGTGAAAGAGATGTTCGAAGGGAGGGAGAGAGAGGACAAATAATATTCACTTTGCCTACATCTAGTAATTGAAGCAATTTCTGATGATGATTTCATTTTTATATGAGGCAATCAGATTTAAATTCAATTTTAGATGTCAAGCCCGGGGGCTATTTACCTTTTGAAAAATGGAAAGAGCTTGAACACCGCCTGATGTTTTTTTGTAACAGATGATCCCAGAGTAACTAACCCTGGCCTTGTATATATAGACATCAAGCATGTTTGAGCATAAACTTTTCTGGGGGGAAAAAATGGCCTGATTTCTGTAAGGCTCCTGAAGACATTCACATGTTCTTGGCATTGCTACATGCATGCTGCTCTGATCAATCATCACCCATCCCAATCTTGTTTAACGCTAGACCGACCAGGCATCCTCATCACGCACCGGCTCAAGCAGCCACTGATCGGATTTACGCTGCAAATTGAATTGTGGGAATTCCGCTCGAAGCTGCCATTGGCCGCAGCCTGGGCAACGGGGTCTGTTTGATTCGCCGGGTTATCGTGCGAGATCCAGGCCCTAGTCCGGCAATTTTGCAATGTTGATCCCATTACGTTGCCATTAGTAGTAAGCATGGCCGGACAAGAAACAAGTACAGACAGATGCAGATCTGATTATTCAATATCATAGGGATTTGTTGAGTATCATTTAAGGCTTTCTGAGCTTGATATGAAATCTTTCGATCTCGAATTTAGTGATAATAATTTGCTTTGGCTTTTGTGCCACCGTGACTAACCAGTTTGACCCGTTAGCTAGCTACTGTAATTGACATCTGAGGGCTTGCCTTGAGTTTCAACTTCAGGTTACAGCCCACACTCAAGGATTCCTTGAATAAATGGAAATTTGATCTAGTAAACCTTTGACTTGGTAAGGTATTGAAAACACTGCTTGAATACACCATCTATATGCAAGAGACTCCACACTTTGACAGGAATATGACTTATCATGGGATGTATTCTCCTTTCACATTAAAGATACCAGCTTACTCCTCAGCCAGTCTTTGCAGCTTTTTAAAATGAAAATACTGAAAGAAAGTGCAGTCTAGTGACCCACACACAATATGGGGATAGCTGTTTTGAGGTTTCCAATATGCGCCTTTGCATTTGGGGTTCTTTTATAAACAACGAACAGTCGAAATGGCTTCACGATATATGCCATTCCATAGCTATATAGGACTTCATCTCATACATAAAAGCTATTTATGTTGTCCTCTGCTTCTGCAACCATGGCAACACACCATGTACGTCGTCAACAAATTCACCTCCCTATTAAAAGCACATTTGAAGGTAACCCGATAGCTAGGATACTCCCCGATGTCATGCAGACAACAAAACGATGACATCAAACGCCGAGATTGCAGAGCATCTCAGTCTCCTTACAATCCTCCATGCCTCCGCTCAGCAAGACTTCGGAGAGAGAGAGACGCGGAGGAGGACTGTAAAGCCATTAGCAATTGGATGCCAATTTTAGAATAGAAACCATAGAATTGCCTTGCCATGCCTCGCATGGTGGTTGCACTTTTTGTGTGCGGATGTCTTCTTTTTCAGACTTCTTATTTCTCGATCTGGCGGGCTGTTCCAGGGGACTGCACTCTCAATGTCTTGCTTCATGATGAATACAAGGCTAGCTTGTTTAGATTTAGCCTTCCATTAATGTTTTGTATGGGTGGGGAAGGGGGGGGGGGGTTATGGGAGAGAAGTAGCCTGGCTTCCAAGCAGCATGATCACCCCATCTCTTCCTTCTTGTTAATTTAGGAGTCAAAGTGAGTCTAGAGTCTTCAGAATATGTCTTGTCTACCTTGTGATTGGGGCTGGAGGAAAGGGGGAGGGGGAGGGGGGGGGGGGGGGGGGGGGGGTTAAAGTCTACTTGATAATGCATGGGGGAGGGGATACATGTATGAATTTAATGCTATGAATGAAGTGTACTGATCATCATACATTGCAGGCTCATCCTTTAATTGGATTCTACACAGCAGAGCAACTGGCTCGTTCGATTGAACAAGACATAAAGCCAGAGACATGAACTGCAATTTCAATCAGATCATTTAGGAAGTGGAATGACATTGACCCTGTAGGTTTGTCCCACTATCCCCCTTGAGGCGCACAGGAACTTACCATACCATGTTAAAGATGGACATTAATCCTTATGAAATTGCATTCATTGTCATTACCTGAGAAAAAAAGAATGTCATTATACTGCCAGGATCTTGCTCTCAGGTTTTTGCATGATCTAATTCTACACAATGCTCATAAAATTGCACATAGGCTGGTTGGCTTGCTTTTGAATTATTTATCTGGCTTTTTATTTGAATCTTATTGGATCCATGATAACATGTTTTTGAATTTTTATGACATTATGACATTCTATTGATGGTTCTTTACATGATAGGTTAATGCTTTTGTATTGCTATCTCTTTTGAGGTATTGTTAAGTCAGTTCAAAGGGAAATTTACTGATAATCATTATTCATGATGTCAGTCAGAAAAGAAGGCATACAAATTGTAAACAAATTTGATATACATTTGTAGTTCAAAGCTGTCAAACTAATTTTTATATATATCAAATATAGCATTTTTTAGGTTTCAAAGTTAACTTAAATCTGTTCTGCCTGTTCTGCTCAAACTGTACTGATGTGTTGTTTTGTCATATTCAGGGACGCATTTATATCTTAAGAGACCTCTATTTCAATAGAGTATGGTAGTCAATATTAATGTTTCTTCTTTGGGGGGGCATTCATCATCATTTCATTTGCTATTAACAATTTTATTGTTTCTCAAATGATGCATACACATAACCGAATAATGCAGGAATCCATATTTTCAATGAATCTGAATTTCCCCCTTGACAGTAATTGACCTGTAGAGATAATGACAGCCATTAGTATATCCAAAAGTCCCAATGTAGTAATTAGATGACCTAATTTTGATTTTATCAGTGAGGTTTATTTGGGCCAATTGACATGAAACAAATCACTAACTCACTACTTCCTAGCATTTCACCCCATATTTTTTGTTATGATGTCACTTGTTTTACAGAAAGTTTATTACTTGATTGGTTTATTGATGTTTTATTAATCTTATTCTTCTTCTATTTTTGTTTTTACAGAAACCAAAGAAAGCTCTTCAATGTGGCTACCTCTTTGTTGCTCCAGGCATCGACTTTGACAACCCAATGTCCAGGAACAGGGTAAGTCTCATTAAAATACATCGCATATCAGAAAATGTTATTCTTTACTTAGACAAAATATGATGAGGTTTAAAAAAGTAAAATTATGCAATGAAAGCACCCATGATGCAGTGTAAGCTGTTCATATTTTTGTCCACAATGTATAAATTACATGCCCTGTATTAAAAGATAACTGAATGCTTCACACATTCAAAAGTAAATCAAGCTGCGTATTTGTTTGATACTGTTACTTTTTTGTATGAGTCTGTTAGAAATGAAGAGTGCCAATACTCAAAATATACAGCGTTTCAGGGAAATTGTGCTCCTGGCAAATTGTGCTCCTGGCACTATAGAAAGAGCTCTTAAATGCCTTTGATTATAGCATTAGTTGTTAATTAATTCATTTATTTTATTTTATTTAGTTTTTCTTACTTATTATTTATTTATTTATTTTATATAATCGGAACATGATTTCTTGAAAGTCTTTAAGATCGTATTTTGTGCGTGAGAAACCTCTCTTTGATCAGCAGTGAATACTCACGTGAATCTTCCACCGATGCAAATGACAGATTACAAGTATATAATGACACATCTCGATGACTCGGTTTCCCTTCTAAGCTGTGAGATCCCTTGATCTCGAAGGGGTGCATTATCATGGCTTAATGAGACGTGTCTGATACACAAGGTGCTAATTAATCCCCCCCCCCCCCCGTATATTCCTAAGAATGGAAAATTTCTTTCTTGTAACCTGCTACGATGGGTGTACAGTAACAGAGCAGGGATGATTATAGTGTGTGAATCATTGATTGTATACGTGTGTTTTCAACTGGAAACGGCAATAGAATCACCAGTAGCAGTGGCAACAACTTCAAAAGAATAAAAGAATGAATACAGAGAATAATGGTTAGAAAATGATTGGAAATTGAAAATTAGAATGAAAAGGTTAGGAATAGTGGTGACTCCCCCTGCTACTTCTTAAAAGGCAACCATAAATGAAGAAGAAAAAAAGATCTTGTGTAATCATCATTTGTCAATGAATGTGCTGTAATGAATAAAACCTCTGATACAATATTTTGACACAAATCTTTTACAAATGAAATTCAGGCCTTTACCATGATTATAAATTAACAGCGATTAAAGTTGAAAGTATAAATATTTGGACATGAAATTATCATATCAATATCAATATACAGGTCTCCATTTACTTAATTTTCATGAAGTGTTATCAGTTTGCTAACATTTGCCCCTTTCTTTATATGCTCTGTTCATTGACTGATTGCCAAGGATGTTAGTTCTGTCTTGGTGGGGCCTCTATCCACTTGCTTAAAATTGTAGCAAGGATATGATGTCAGATAGGCATGCATATGTTGAAAATTAGATCAAATCTCATCCATATTTCATCCAAAAAGTGAAAGAATTGGGAATTGTGCCTACTCTTTTAAAATCATATTTCATATTAATAGTCTCAAAAGTTTGTCAATGTGATTCCTCGTGATCATAAACCACCTGCTAAATCCCACAGTACCTCCTTCAATATATCATTAATATCAAGCCCACCCCCTCCCACATCCCTCCAACAAATCCCCTTGCCCCCTCCTAATCTCCCCTCTCCTAATCGGTGTCAGAGCCAACCATGTATTCATTTTGCTTGTTGCGTCAGTCACTCGCTCCTGACGCTACCCAGGGATTGTAATCTGTCAAGCCCGATGATACTTCTCTTATGACATCTTCAAAGAGATTGAGAGCCTTGTGGGGATTAAATGAAATGTTTCTCAGATGCAGTATGACACATCGGAAGGCTAGGCCCAGCTGACCTTGAGGATTAAAGCAGAAATGGAACTCTTGATGATAAAAAATAAAATGATATTTATTCAATTTCTAATCCATGGGCTCCATGAATATTGAAATTTAAAAAAAAAAGTTTGTTTTAAACTCACTACCCATGGGGTACATGAATATATATATATATATATATATATATATATATATATATATATATATATAAAGTATTTGTATAAGGTATCCTGAGGTTTCAATATGTTTTCTAAAGATCTCAATGAAAGTAAATTATATTTATCAATAAACTATGAGATGCAGCAAGAAAACAATTAATAAAAAGCAGTTTGTAATATGTATTGTAAGAATGGAAAATAATTGCTAATATATTTTGTTGATGCAAGTTAAAGTATATATGATAATCATAATGGAATTTCTACCCCAAGGACTTAGGATGTTTGAAGATCGAGTTCTTCAGAAATGCATTCGTTTACAAATAATCATTGCAAATTGTAACATTCCCCATCCACCTTTCTCTAAGTACATCTACTTGAAAATGTCAACTTGAAAATGTAAACATTTTTGTGCATACATTTTTATGCATAGAGCATATTTACTCTTTTAATTTGAAACATTTTACCCGAGATTGATGTGTTCCAACAAGCACCCCAAATATTTCAACAGCTGGTCTTATCCTTTTTGATAACAAAATTGTGTTATGATTTATGAACTATATTCTATGATATATACTCCAACTGATGCATTATTTTCATAATCTCCCTTCCTCATCAGAAAAAAAAGAGGACATGATTCAAAGTAAACATTTTTGGCGGTGTTTATTTATAACATGTGATTTGTGTAAACACATGCAATTTTAGAGGAAAAAAAATCTCTCTTCTAAAAGTGGCTGTTCTATACGTCATTAGAAATCAATCTAGATTAGGTTATCAGCATGTGATTTTGTGTGAGGAACCAGCAAGAAAATCAAATTGAGGCATTTAATATGGTATATTTAGATAATCTATCCTGACCTATAAATGTAAATTTGGAGCATTTATGATGCTTTTTTAACTTGATGTATCATTAGGCTAGAATCAAGGCTTTGGGCTCTTTGATGCTGTAACGCCTAATCTGTGCCACATTTGAAGGCCTGAAGCCTTCATGGTGTTTGAAGGATCAATTTTGATGGAACATAATTAAGCCAAAATGATTTGAAGGGTCTATTGGTGAAGAGATGAATTGGTTATTGGAAAGGAATCACCATAGTCATAGTAAAAAAGGCTTTAAAATGCAGATCTGATCTTGTTTTTTTTATTCAATAAGTATGATTATAAAATGAAAAGGGATCAAAATATTGACATATTTTTTTGGTGATGTAAGTAACTTCAACAATTTCTGATTTATAAAAGGACTTATTTTCAAATAACTTGAAATCATTCCTCATCTCAAGTTTTTTCTAAAATTCCTTTGACTTAAATTGTGGATTTTGTTTGGATTTCTTAGCTTGAGAACAAAACTTATGTATATATAACAAAAATAAATGACTGGAAATTTAACCATTCACAGAAAATGAGATCTCAGTTTGTATTTCTTTATGATAGTAAGGTTTCAGTGACGCCGAGTTTGCTACCAATAAACTAAGGTTTAAAAAAGAATCATTACATGCAAAATATTTGTGACATTTGGCTTACATAATAGATTTGCCCAAATTATTTACAACCGCAACAAAATTTCTTCTGAATTGTCACGTGATAAACGAGAAGAGAATGCGTATTTCTATCTATTGTAGTTTCATTCACAATCCTATACACGTTTGCATTCTTGAACTGTTACTGAAAGATAGTTCTTGTTATGTATGCTTCACATATCAATACCATAGTACTATTTTTGGCACTTATCCAACGCAGTATTGCATATTTTCCGTTGTCATTTGAAGTAGTAAGTAAGTGGGTGAAATATTGTATTTCAGGCAGGTAAGGTTTATATTTAAATAAAAACCTTTTCCTCTGTGTAAAGTACTTTGTAAGTCCTTTTTAAATCATCTTTGGCAGTTATGCATTCCATTTAGATTGAACAAGTAAGGTTTTAGAAATGATCGACATGATTTGAAGACCACAAATGGCCTTCAAACTTGTGGAGTTTTTATTTTCTTGATCGATTTCCCTTGAGTATCTTCTTGGCCAAGTACATTTCTTCAATTCATGATTAATATGTAAATTGATAGCCTTTAATTATAGAACAGAGGCAGGAGAGAGGTTTCCCTTTTTAAATAAATACTCAGCTATTCATATTGAAGAAATGCTATCCAGTGATGATAAATTTGAGCAAAATATAGAAAATTTGTCCTTGACTTTGAGAATTTGATTCATTTTAAACCCGCATTTCCTTCATAGAATAGTCATTCTGCATGCCTAATGCAATCCAGAATAGAATGTCCTTGACTTGGTGTAATAAATACATTTAAACCTGCCTCTTTTTTTGTATTTACTTAGTTATTTTGTAGTCTAATTTTATCAAATAAATATATCCATAGCCTTGATTGTAAGAATTTGATACACTTGGACTTGTATCAATTTCTAGAGTTGTCAAATTTTTGCGGCTTATTTTGTTTGTCCAGACAGGATATGACAGTGGCAGCAAACTTCCGAGGAGTAGTTATAGCTGTTCCGGATTTTTGTCACCAAATTAATATTTTTCAGGTGACCTTTGGCTTTGTCTATCAAAATAATGAGAGATTTATTTTGTCCATGACTTAAAATGATGGCAATAACAACAGCGACTCTCTCCCTCTCATTTCGTGCCAAATCTGGGTTCTTTTTCCTGTCTTTTTTTAAAATCAGTAATACTAATAGATAGAGATTTATATATCTGTTTTGTTAGTAATCTGATAAATTCCTTAATTGCCTTGAATTAAGGGTGAAGGTCTGTTATTCTTTATCTGCATCATATACTGTATAATGAACCTAATATGTGTAATAAATTTTTAGTTTTTTTAGATACCAGAGATTTGTGACGGGATAAACAGATGGCGCAATTTTTTTCTTTATACTTAAAAAGGAATTAATAGGAAAGGTTGCTTCATTACTGCTTTATTTGATATTACCTTGCCTTATTTGGTATTACCTTGCCTTTTTTGGTATTACCATGCCTTTTTTTATATTACCTTGCTGTCAAATGAAATATTTTCCTCAAATATAGGCCTACATGACATGCTACAAGGTACATTATCTCTCCAGCCGTCATCC